TTTTTAAACTATTCTTCATCTTGAGTAAAAGTTTTATTTTATTACAACTCAGGCAATAGTGAATATGATTTCAATTCCCAGTGGTTAGCAATTCTTACCTTATCCAAGTTCACACATTTGTAATCTTTCTGTAAAAAGTATATGACTGTGTATCCATCCCAGATGAGACTGTCATCTGTAATAAAGATCCCATGCTTAGCTTTCCGCACATACAACGCAACCTTTACAAATTATACAATACAAATGGATTAATTACTGGTTTTCCAAGAGATTTGAAGAGCTAAGCAGAATTGGCAATGAACATGTCTTGTACGGGCAGCGACCATTTTTCATGGTTGACACGAGACATCATCATATTATTTCATTATATTATTGCTGTCATTACTCTACAGACCTTGCAGAGGTATCCACGTCACTTTCAGCGTGTATGTTCCTGTGTTGTTAAGTTCCCGGAATCTCAACCTCGTGTCAGCCTTTATCAAAGTGGAATTCGTTGTATAACCCAATGAGCAATCTTTGTTTGAAAAGTAACAATACCAATTAACATCAGGGAAAAATGAAATAAAATATACTTTTTAAGATTGTAGAAGAGTTTTTAGCACATTCGCCTGTCCTTTTTGCTTCTCTAGTTTATATTTTTTTGTAGAATTTTCATAACTTTTGTAACACCCATTATGAAGTAAACAGACCAGCTTTACAGGTCCATTATGTTAGCGGAACCTTCGAGAAACGGTCTTCACGTCAGTTATATTTTTGCTATCTTAATTAGAATATGATACGAATCGGTTATGGTATCGATATGACTTTCAAAGTCGAATGACCTTAATTTGAGAAATCAAATACAAAGAATGATAAGGGTTTGTTATAACGAGCACTGCTCAGTACTATGACGCCGGGTCAGCAGATTATGAAATGAAATAAGAAATCTACTTTTAGCGCTTACAGTGTAAGCGCTACAAATAGATTTCTTTTTTCATTCAATTACTGATCAATGCACTTCGAAAAGTTTCAAAAGCAAAAAAACATATTTTAAAAAACGAACGAATATAACAGGACAAAAGCAGCTGAGACAAAGCTAGGAAACCATGATGAGCCATGAAAAAAGGGTAAACTAAAAGGCAAACGCGTAGAGACAAAAAGGAAAAGGGGTTTCAAAGAGGTTGAAAAAAACGTCAAATAATCCAAATGTAATCAAAGTGGACAGATACTCAACACTGAAAAAAAGTAAGGCATATTTCCATATTCATTTTACCGTTTGTTCTGTCATTAGAGCTATCTTTTGGCTGGCTCGACGAGCTCTCTGTACGAAAAAAGAGCAAAACATGATAAGGATACAGATTTGGCTATTGTCTGAGGAGCACTTGAAATTCACTTACAAATGACATTTTGCTTGTCAACGATGGAATAATGCAAGACGTAAACCTGCACCAAAAAAGCTCTTCAACCATAAGGAGCAGGAGAGTCAAAATGAACATATTTCTGGTTAGAGCCATTGATATTGCAGTGCTTCTGTTTAAATACTTAACTGATGACGAAAACCGCAAATAGTCAATACTCTGGGCCTTATATTAGTAGCGATACTAGTAATCTCTTTTTCACGCCCAATACTACTTGCGAGCTTTCCGACCGTTCCCCGCATGGAAAGTCGGTCCTGCGAGTCTTATTGTAACCAAAAGAAGGACTTAATAAGATACACAAGGCGATCGAACCTATTGACCGTCCATCAATGAGCTCGAGACGTAATTCATCTGTACGGTGAATTTCGTTCAATACCGATACAGTCAAATAAAACTGTTTCGCTCTCTTCGTTAAACTTTACTGAAACAAGCACCATCATCGCATATGGCCTTCCCATGAGCGTGTTAAAATTTATGCACCAACTGATACAATTTTCAACTGCCCCAAAGTCTAAAATAAAAATCTTCTTGATGGACTTGTATGATTGGCTGTTTTAACTGTCCGATTACAGGTGTCCTTTTACAACTCTACAGAATAGTTAGTGATAAATAAAGCAGCTTATGCAACAATCAGATTTAAGGAAATTGTAAAAGTTATGATTAAAGACAAAAACTTGTTATTTGTCCCAATTTATCAACTGTGCTCAATTTGACCAGCTGTAATACAAGTCTAATGCTTAGCCATAAGTAAATCAGCTCACTATTAACCCTCATCCTACCAACCGGGGTCCAATT